TTTTCTCCCCTTCTGAATATAACAATTATTGAGGCATCATTCCATGATTGATAACAATTATTTCCCTTTGATATAGCGTAATTTGCTCGGCGGTGTTTCAGAGTGCCTCACACGCAATGTGTTATCATCGAGGTATTTCCTGTGCTTAAACGTTTAGTAAAATAAGTATGCTAATTTTATCCAAGCTGTTCCCGCTTGTTTGATAATGTCCAGTAATTCCATCTGGTATCGGAGCTTTCCTATGTTTTCATACGGTGTATGACGAGCAGTGGCTACCTCTTTATAACAGTATGAAGAGAAGTGGCTACCTCTTTATAACAGTATGAAGAGTGGTAGCTACCTTTTTATGACAGCAGAGATATTTGGACCACTCCCTCGTCACTTGAACAAAATATGCGTTTCATAGTGTACGCGATATTAATATCTGCATATAATTCCTCCTCGCGTTTGTATTCTATTATCTTTCTATTGTGTGTTGTGGTTCCACCTGAGTCTCCCTGGGGGGTACCCTTTGTGATTTTCCCAATTATCAAGTGCATTGCTGCCGTTTCATGTTGTCAATGCTTGTTATAACATCCGTAATCGTGTTTCTGTTCGGTGCTCTTAATTTATTTACCCATTATTTTCATAACTGTTTTCACATAATCATTTGAATTAAGACCCATTTAAGGCAACAAAGTCAAATCCCCCACCGAATAACAATGTTCGTATGGTTATCACCACTTAAATATGAAAAACTCAACACCTTCACCAAGAACACTGCCTTAAAATACACATTTGAAAAGGGACATTTCGGGTAAATGGCCCTTTGAGTACTTTTTTCACCTGTACCTGTGCACAATTGCCAATGCAGCAAGCATCACCAAATCATATCTTTAAATAATTAGATTGCTCACATTGCAATGGACAGTGCATTGAGAACGGGGTGCAAACTACTATCCAAAAAAACACAATGAACGTCAGAAAGGAGATATTTGGAAAGGGATGGAAATGCCAAAACAATATATGTGTACGTTATTGAAATCCAAGCACAGCAGAGAAAAAAATTAACCCGTAAAAACAAAGTTTTTCACTATAAATCCTTTATATGCGTGGCATCGGTTTTATTTTATTATTAATTTCTGTTTTTCGTGAGTAAGAGTTTCATTTTTATCACATTGGTATTTTAAATTAAATATGAAATTTTTTTTTTCCTAAAAAGTGGAAAATTTTGGAAAAAAATTTTCACGAAAATAAATTGTCACGCACAACGAGTCTGTGTGCAAAATGTCAGCTCGATTGGATCACGGGAAGTGGGTTAAAAAACGACCGAAAGATTTGCACGGTCGTAAGCAAGCAAGTGAACTTAATATAAAGGATTAAAAAAATACTGGGTGTTCTGGTCAAAATGTCAACCCACCACACCTGGAAACACTCCTGCAGCCTACGTTGGAGATGCTGGATTATTATTTGAAGGGTATCACATAATCTCGAGGTAGCTCAATTGCCTCCTGTATTGTTCACAAAAATTGGCAATTGCGATATAGTTCTTCGACATCGCAATTAACTTTAAAGGACACGGTACTTTTGCACACCTTCTGGGGTCATTCAAAGATGGCCAGGTAGATGTACACTTTCTTAGGTAACAAAAATACGTATACTGGATTGTCAATGGAAATTGTGTATATATGAAGTGTGTATATTGCATTTTTTTTCATCACGACTTAATAATTGGTTGTATTTACATAGTGCTAGCTTTGCCATAGAAACCTTCTAGCAGATGTAGGTTTTTAAACAAACGTAAATATATATTGGTCTGGAAAGCCAATAGGCTGATTAAGATTATTTTTGTTCATATGTGGAAACGCAGAATGGAGTTCTGCTTGTAAAGATATGCTTCTGTCTCAAATGCTCGGCAGTAACGCATGATGAGTTTACGTATGGGATATATTTATAAAACTCCGGAATGTAAAATGTTTTTGAGAGGCTTTTCTGCGTAGCAACAATCAGCTTTATATGAAAAATAACAATATGTTTTACCCTTTCTGCCAACAAAACAGGTGTTATGATGTTCAAACACCAAATATAAACCTGTTGCAAGGAATCAAGTCCGCATTAACCACACTTACAGTACATGTGGTGAACATACGAACAAACATGCTCTGATAATTATCAGAGCATGTTTGTATTGTCTATGAAACCGATTGGCCTACACCAGAGACATCCTTTTTTATCGCCTAGTCTCACCAGTGTCAGACCAGAGAACTCCAAAAGGTGAACAGTACGAAGAAAAATGCACGTAACAGCACATTTATAACGCGGTGGAGCAGCTATACCATGGTGCCTTTGATACTTACAAAAAGCACACATTGTTATCAGCCTTATTCAAACACTGATTGAAAGTCAAGTTCATGATGATGCAGTAAAAAATGAAGTAAAGTCACGTAGATAGAAAACTTAACCAATAAATCACGACGTTTTCATAGCAACACAAGCCATCTTCTTCAGATGAAACAATACAGCAGGCAGACTGTTGAGGAAATGTAGCGAGAATAGCTACTTCAACCAAAAGTTATATTCGCTACATTTCCTCCTCAGTAGTCCGCCTGCTGTGTTGTTTCACCTGAAGACGATGACTTGTGTTGCTATCGAAACATCGTGATTCATTAGTTATTTTTTTCTCTCGACGTGACTTTACCGAAAAAAAACAAAGAGTATGATTTCCTGCAGTCACGAAAGCTTCAAATCAAGATATGAAAAGTGTACAAACATTGGGGATGTATTGTACCCACGGAGTGAATAAACACTTAGTGATTGGTTTGCACGTGGCTTTGTATAGATAAATAAGCCCCATATTTTGTCGCTAAATGAACTGCAGGCATTGTTTGGTCTGTATCATCGCACCCACTGATTGAACAAACGCGATTGATTGGTATACACACGTGGCTCTGTATGGCTGGACGGAAGTGGTAAATAAAATAATGGAGACGGGCCACGTGCGGACTCACCGCTCACACCTCCTCCTGCTGTGAGGCCCGGTTCCTAACAGGCCACGGACCGGTACCGGTCCACGGCCCGGGGTTTGGAGAACTCTGCGTTACAATATACACTAGCTGTACTACCCGGCTTCGCCCGGGACTTGTATCCACCACGGCCGGCCGCCTTTGTCTCCCCAGTGGCGATGTTAATACGCCACAGCAGTTACTCGTTTGAGGCAGAGTTGACCTAGGGGAGGTTCAAATAATCGTCACCGGTGGTGGCCGTGAGCGGGAATCGAACTGGGTTCGCCGGGTTGGTAGCGCAGCGTAGCGTTAAGCACTGCACCCACCGCTCCTCACACACCACACACGCACAGACACACACACAGACACACACACAGACACACGCAGACACACACAGACAGACACAGACACACACACAGACACACAGACAGCACGCTAACCACTACACTACCGCTCCCCACACACCACACACGCACACACACAGACACACAGACACAGACAGCACGCTAACCACTACACTACCGTTCCCCCTACACAACACGCGCGCGCGTCCATAGGTACACATACACGCGCTTGCTGCAGACACACACATACATACACGCAGACACACATACACACATACACACAAACACATACACAGTGACATGCGTATTCCCATCGCGGGGCACGGGACGTGCCTCCCGGCAAATCCCTCGCAAGCGATCGTACACAGATGGACAGACAACTGAACAGTACGACGTTTGGCTGGTAATTGCATCCAGCATCAGCGAAAGGACGTACTCTGAAATGGGAATTGTTGTGGTTTTACGCGTGTACACACCGGTGGGCCAAAGCAGAGACTTATGAGTGTTTTATCAACGGGACACTTTTTGACTGATTGGCCGTGTGGGGTGGTGGAGGGTTACAACACATTAATAATTAAGGCGAGCGAAAGGCAATAAAGTTATTTTTGAAGAATGGTTGCGAAAGCGTACGTGTTACAAAAAGACTCACTTTACTTAAGAAGCAGGCTAATGTGTACATGATAGACTGTCAGTACAGCCACCCCAGAAATATAACCAGGCTACACTGTACATTCTAGAGTGGCAGTACGCTCAGCCAGCTTAATGAGTATTTGTTGAGTGAACATTTAAACAAATCCATTATTGGCGCGTGGGGTTTAAACATAATTATACAGTAGTTTTTTCATGAGAAATGGTAATTGTTGTGGTTTTCCGCTTGAACACACCGGTGGGCTAAAGCAGTCAAGTCTTAGTCTTTTATGAACGTGACAATTTTGTGCAGATTGGGCGTGTCGGGTGGTGGATAAGGGTGACAACACCTTAATAAATAAGGCGATCTAAACGCAATAACGTTGTTTATGAATAATGTTTGCGAAAGCGTACGTGTTACAAATTGACTAACTTTACTTCCTAACCAGGCTAATGTGTACATGATAGACTGGCAGTACACCCAGCCAGCTGAATAAGCAGGCAGCAGTCTACATAATAGACGGGCAGTACGCTAAAGCAGCTTAATGACTATTTGTACAAAGAACATTTAAAGAATCGATTATAATAACCAGGCTACAGTCTACATTATAGACTGCCAGTACACCCACTCAGCTTCATAAGCAGGCTAGAGTCTACATGATAGAGTGGCAGTACGCTGACAGAGCTTAATAAGCAGGCTACAGTGTACATAATAGACTGTCAGTACGCTCACCCAGCTTAATGAGTATTTGTACAGTGAACATTAAAGTAATCGATTGTTGCCGCGTTGGGTTTAAAAGTAATATTAATAGCACACATTGTGGTGGGGGTGTAGTGAAGAGTAGGAAAAACTTTGATGAATTTACCTCAGAGTGGCGTGGTGGGTGTCGGGGCCTAGTAGCGTGCAAAGCCTGCGGCCTTGCCTAAAATTGTCGACTTGGAAGAGGCAGGGTACGGGTGGCGTTCCTTCCCCCCCCCCCCCCCCCCCCTAGCACGCCAACAATACTGTGTAATGGCTATTATTTAATTAATTACGGAGCTTATGAAAGTGGCGAAGGCGTGGCTAGCGGTTGGCAGGGGCAACCGCCGTCCAATGAAACTGCAGCCCTTGGCGAAGGCGTCGCTAGCCGTTGCCAGGTCCAATGAAAGCGGCGAAGGCGTCGCTAGCCGTTGCCAGGGGCAACCGCCGTCCAATGAAAGTGCGTATGTTCCGGAGACACACAGACAGACAGACTCACGATTTTATATATATAGATGTCCGGATTATGGACTGTGATAAGATAAAATTAATCACGTGCATCTTGTATTTTTTGTTAACATCTACTCACCCACTCCAAAATGCATTTGTTCAATGGATATACAAGACTCGTCAATTTTTATCATATTTAAGAGCTAAAATGTACATGCCCATTTTTATCCGTTCTATCGATTTTATGAACATACTTCTTTTGGAATAAATGGAACTCAATACAAAGAAAATTACATTAAAAACTGGTATTATTTGTGCTGTATGCGAATGCTGTTCTGTGTCTCTCTGTTTTGTCAAAATCGTTGCTCTGAGCTCGATTGCATAAGTCTGTCTTTTCCCTGTCCATGCACTGTTGCTGGCAATGTGAGCATCATAACACTTAGTGTTGCACTTGTCGTTACAGAATATTTGGTCACATCCACAATTGTGTTTCCGTGTGCATCGACGAACTGTGCATTATGCACCCATTACGTCCACAGGACGGTGACACTGCCATTCACCGCTGACAGGCTACCCTGGTCATCGCTAGGGTGCATTAACTATAACCATACAGAGTCTGCTTCACTGTGGACGTTCATTATCCCACCGACATGATTTAAGAAGGCCCATTATGTGCCAGCGTCATGGTCCAAATTATAAAAATATCCGCAAACTACTCAATTGGGATAACACACAGCAACGTCCACCCCCTCCCCCTCACCAATTGTGAAAACACTGCAGACTTTGTGATAGTCTTGCGCTAGAAGAATGGCACGAACACCAAATACACTAAAATTATTATTAAATACCAATAATGTATGTTTGCGTGTGCTTTGGGGCATGAGCGTACATGTGTACATGCTCGTGATCACCAGGACATATTTCATGAATTCTTAGTTTAGTTACCAAAGCATTACTCAATCTGTTCAAATTAAACGTTTATGAACATTACAATTTTTGGTTTAATATACAACCTAATAACTGTGAAATTACTACATTCAAGTGCAGCACGATAGCTCCCTGCCCTTAATTTTCTATGCGTGATCTCGAATTATTTTTCCATCATCTCCGTTATTTTGAAGGCCCTTGACTTGTTTTCATTTGCCCACGTATAAAGCATGCAAGCCAATTTTTAAGCCCTGTGTACCAGCATCGATCTTGCTCGGCTGCCAGCGTCCCCAGAACCGTTGCAACAAAACATTGGCGCAACGTTCCGCGTTCACTGGGATTTTGTGCATGCATGCACGCGCGTGTGCAAGGCCCATGCTCAAGCCCCTCTGCGGTTCATGTTGTTCATCTCGGTGTAGGCAGCGTCGGGCGCCGGCGCCACGCGTGCCTTGAACAGGCACGGGAATGCCTTCTTGAAGGTCTTACGGAAACTATCGCCCATGAAGCAGTAGACGAACGGATTGATGGACGAGTTGGCGTACGACATGCAGTTTGCCCACGTCTTGAGCTTGTACGTGGTGTAGCTGAAGGCGAAGTACGGGTAGAAGCTCTGGAAGAGGATGAAGAGTTGGATGGGCCCCCAGCAGAGCATGAAGACCAGCACGACCACCACAACCATACGAGTCACCTTCGCCCTCGTCGCCTCGTTCCGCTCTGTGAGCATCTGCAGCTGCACCCCCGCAGAAAAGAACCAAACCGCGTTGCCACTGAAACACAGCCGGACTGCCCACTAAGTTGTGTAAACTGGTGAGTTGTGAGGGGTCAGGTGAGTTGATGACTGGTGTCAGGTGAGTTGGTGAGTGTTAGGTGAGATGGTCAGAGGTGAGTGTGAGGTGAGTTGACTGGTGAGTGGTGAGGGTCAGGAGAGTAGTGAGTGGTGAATGATGATGGCCGAGCGAGTGTCATAGGTCACGCTTCCCACAAGTAAGAATGGAATATTTACTTGCATAAACAATTTAGATGGCTAATGTTTGCCAGAATAACATTTCAGACTTAACACTAGGATCTGTATGGTGTTATAATAATCTTGGGTATTACAACATGTAATTGGGTATTTTTGTCCTGTCTCTACTCCACATGAAACACATTACATACGATGTGGGGTGGAGTGGCAGCGACCTGATTCCAAGCCAAGGTTATAAACATCAGTGACGAGTATTCGTTGGGTCTTTCGGTAAAGTCACGTAGATAGGTTCGAAGAAAATAACAAAAAACGACGTTTCGATCGCAACACAAGCGGTCATCATCAGGAAAAGAGGGTTAGCGTCAACAGTGTGAGTGTGTAAAGCGAGGTTCAATAATTACCTGGCAGCCCTTTAATTGGTGGAAACCCACCACCAGTGCTATCGTTGCCCTCTACGAGGACCATCACTTACATTAACATCAGCTGCTCTATCCATGCTGCTGACACTTGGGCTACGCCCATTTCAAACCTTTATAAACAGTTTGCCTTTGTAAAGAAACGTCAGATTTGAAGCGACTTTGCGTAAAAAAAAATGTAATTCAGCCCGACCTTCCTTTGTGGTAGTGTAAAATCCGCCCAATTCATTAATATTAATAAAGGGGTGGGCCTCATTTGGAGGACGTTACGCGCGGGACGGACAAACATTCTGGGTGATTATAGTAGGTAATTGTGAGAGATATTCAATTTCAAGACGCGGAATTTTTTATACTATGTTTTTGTTCCCTGTTCCACCCATATTGCGCCTTAGCACTGCTCTTAAACGTCTTGTTCGGCCTGCAGGAGTGGTGGCGCTGTGGTTAGCGCAGGGCACCACAGACCCAGTGAGTTCAATTCCCACCAACAGCTAAGATCAGTGCCAAGTAAAATTTGAACCGGTCTGTGTATAGTAGTAATAGTAATTTGTTTACATATCCAGGAGAGCCATACTGAGTTGTTTGACTCTGTCAGGAGGGTCTTGCATTGGGTTTTCATTTTAAGATGTTTTGGGTTTATTAATGAGTGTTCATTATAAAACACGTACGCAAGGGAGCAATACTCTATCCCGCCTTCTCTTGGTGAAATAGGGTATGGCTCATCCTCGATGCCCACGGACAGGGAGTTTCGCAACACTTGTGAGGTCCACCAACCCGAGCCCCCGCATTAGTCGTGCATCGCCACCACCACCTGATCCTGTACCGTAACATCCCACCTTCACCAACACGCACAGACCCGGGCGTGGTGAAGTAATGGTTCAAAACAACCCTCCTTCACCGATATGGCATGGTGAAGGCCGTTATCCAGCCACGTATTGACAAAGGGCTTTACGGTATTATTCCAGTCGGCATCTCGCAACCCGACCTGATCCATCATTCGTAACTAAACTTGTTCAGAAATTGTCACCACTGAGCCACTAAACGCAATTGCCCTTTGCTAACGCGAACGTCCCCCGTGTCCGTTTCTGCCTGCCGGATGCCCTCAATCACCTGCATGTTGTCATCCTGAGGCTCCACCGCGGGACGTCCGATCTTCTTGATCATAATGCTGTAGCACACGGAGATGGTGACGAGTGGCAGCATGTAGACCAGCACGAAGCTGTACAGCACGAAGGCGTGCTCGTGGGGCACAGAAGGGAAGGCGTCAAAGCAGTACGTCTTGGGCCCGTACCACTCCTTCGTGTCCGTCTTGTGGTACAGGGCCATGGGCAGAGACATCACAAGCGAACCTGTCGAAGGACAGACAGCAGCAGGGCGAGGTTTGGGGAAGTGACCAGGCCAAGTGGTAGCGCTGCCGGCACCTCTTGTTGCAGAGACATTGAGTTCAGCAAATTCCAGCAACAATTTGCCAGAATTATCAACTTCATGATGAAGCTGGTTGTTACTAGAGTAGCAGCAAAACGCCGTAACCCATTTGTTAAATCTAGCGAGTAGGGTGATAGGTTCATTGATTGACAATGCTCATCTCAAGCGGACGAAATTCCACATTGCTTTTTTATTGTGGAGTTGTCCCGAGTGTATTGAAATTCTGAAGAGTGGAAGAATAAAATAACAAGAAGACCAGCAGAGAATAACGACTTTTGTGGAGAAGATAGAGTAGAAAAATCTGCAATGAAGATGAATCTGGACAGAATACTAAATTGGGCACTGCATATGTATCTAAAGGAATGGATAGGATTTTGAGGTTTCCAATTTATTTGTTTAACCAGGTGAGAACTCAAGAGGACCAGGAGGAGTATAATTTTCGAGAGTGACCTGGGTCACTGAATTGACAATTGATAAACAAATAATATACAGTACAGCAATATAATATAAAGTACAACTGCCCTTCGTGGAGGAGTTTAAGTACATCGGGGTCTCTTTCATAAGAGGGAGATCGGTCGGCGGATCAGTGTTGCGGGCACTGGGCCGTTCCATGGTCATGAAGCGGGAGCTGAGTTTTCGAACAAAGCTCGCGGTTTACAGGTCGATCTACGTTCCCACCCTCACCTATGGTCATGAGCTTGGGTAATGACCGAAAGGATGAGATCGCGGGTACAAGGGGCCGAAATTAGGTTTCTCCACAGGGTTTCCGGACTCAATCTCCGTGATCGGGTGAATAGCTCAGTAATCCGGGAGAGCCTCAGAGTCGAGCCGCTGCTCCTCCAGATTGAGGGGAGCTAATTGAGGTGGTTTAGGCACCTGGTAAGGCTGCCCCCCCCCCCCCCCCCGGTGGACCCCCCTGGAACTCTACCAGGCATGTCCCACTGGGCGAAGACCGGCCCAGGACATGCTGGTAGGATTACGTCGCTCGGCTGGCCTGGGAATTCCCAAGGAAGAGCTAGAGTCTGTCGCAAGGGAAAGGGAGGTCTGGACCGCCCTACTCAACATGCTGCCGCTGCGAACCTCATCAGAACGAGCGGACTGATAAAGTTTAGGAAATAAAGTACAGCAATGCAGAAAATACAAATCAGAGCACGTGAGGAATTGTAAAACGAACACTGACGATAACGCAGAGAACCAGGTGGACAGACTTAGCAAAAAAAGATATGAAAAAAAAACACTGAGGTTATCCAAAGCAATGCCACTGATGCAATACGGCAGTCAGCGGGAGGCGGTCAATCAAGCCTTACTTCATTATTGAACGCACGGATCATAACTGAAGTAGAAAGGCATGATGACGACGATGAACGTAGACTCTCTAATGCGCAATGATGAAACGATGCGGCCAAGCACCCCTTGAGACCACTGCATTTGTTAGAGCCAAAGTTCAGGTTCAAGGCCACTGTCATTCCTGTAGCAGAACGGTGACTCAGTGGGGAATTCATCTTAGCCTGGGAATTTTACTCAAACTGCATGATTTCAATGTAAAAAAAAATGGCAATTGTAGGCCATGGATAAAACCTATTCCAAATGTGTTATGTTAATCCAAAATAGCACGATTACACATACGTGCATTTAAATCTCTGCTGATCACATGACAATGACGCATTAGCCCTACTCGCGTAAAGGATAGGAATATATAGTGGGAGTTATATGGGCTTATTGTCACTCATATCTTATATATGAATATGAATACCTATCACATGACACCTGCCGAAATACAATAGAATGTGGGGCAATGATTAATATAAATGCTGTAATAGTTAACAATCATTAAACCATTCAACATGACTTATAAAATGCATGTTGGAAGCTTTTTAAAATAAAATAATGCAATTTTTACACTATGCCCATAAGGTCATCACTTATATATTATTATACTATTGCAATCACTATACTCTTTGGTTCTTTCGGTAAAGTCACATAGGTATAAAATAAAATAAATGACCGATTTATTTTATTTCATACCTATGTGACTTTACCGAAAGAACCAAAGAGTATGGATTCCTGCAGTCACGAAAGCTTCAAATCAATATTGCAATCACCTCGGGTATTATTATTGGTAATTATCCAGCATACATATCTCAAATCATATTTACAGTTTTTATCCACCGTGCATGTTTTGTATATACGACTCCTCTCTTCGCAATATTTTTTTTCTGAATTGATGTAATATTACACCAGGATATTACACCAGGATTTGGCTGCCACGGAAAATATGAGATGCTTTAATGCTCATGAAGCCAATTCTTCCCTTTAATTTCAGCCACATTATCGCTCATATGCTCTCTCTCGCACCACATCTGAATGAAAAATGAGTGCATTCACCTACACAATGGGTAGGGAGCATTTGTATTAATAATGACAACACCAATGGCCTTTAAATAATCTTATTTCCCACTCCCCCCATGCACTGCTTCTCCAATATTTATTCAGAGGTAAAATCATGAGGTGGTCAGGTGGCTTGGAGAGTCTGACAGCCGAGCCGCCAACCACTGAGGACCCGAGTGTGCATTCTGGTATAATGATAGTACAATGGTTTCATGGTTTAGCAAATTGGATTTTTAATCCAGAGGTCGCCAGTTCAATCTCCTGGTGTGGCAGTTCGAAGCAATTGGAACATTTCTTTAAAATCCATTCGACCGCCCCTGACCACCTGGTAGTACATATGGGTTCACTGCAATCGGTCGGCCGGTGGGGTAAAGTGTGGAAGATTAGGCCATAGATTCCCTGTAGAGTGACTCTCCAGAGCTAGTGGAAGCCCTTCCTGTGTGCAGCGGATTGAGCAAAGCAATTGCAGGGCTGCAGCTTCGAAAGCAATCTTACCTATCCAAATGCCGATGCTGACGCAGGCAGCCAAACAGGGGGTGCGGTGTTGGAGTGAGCGGATCGGGTACACAGTGACATAGCAACGATCCACGCTCATCGCTGTGAGCGTCATGCAGGTGGCTTGCACCGTCACCTGCGAACAGCATGGTCATTGCTTTATTACACTTTTGAGCATCTGTGTGGGATGATATTGCATGCAAAATAATGTCATGTCGATCCAAAAATAATAAAAAATCCCGACGTTTCGATCGCAACATAAGCAATCGCCTTCAGGTGAAAAAATACAGCAGGCGGAATGCTGAAGCAGTCCGCCTGCTGAATTTTTGTGGGTCTTACGAATGTCAAGATTCAGTTGACCCCAAGTTGACCCGAGTCAAAACCTGGTAAGGCTAGAGAAGTGATGGAGTGTACAAGCCTTTTAAGATCATGCTATATCATTGATCTTCCATGTAACTTCGAAATTAATTTAAAATTGCCCCATTTCTGCCGATGTTTTAACACGTTTATAACATCAGCCAGGTGGCTAGTAGCCACAAACATTTATTGGGGTAATAAACTCTGACTTGCAGACCAAAATTCCCAGTCAAGTTAACTCTGGGGTCCAGCCATTTTATGATATTGGAATTGGGAAAAGGAGATTTTTCTGTGTCTGGAATAAAGTGGAAACATGTCCACATCCTCCGATTACCACCGTTAGCTTCGTACGGTGCAGAATAAGTTCAACATACATCAATTCATATTCTACAAATCCAAGCAAACCTTTTAACAATGTAACCACCACAACTCACTCTAAAACAGCATTAGAAACAGCAGCAAGTCGACTACAGAATTCTTGCACGTTTATTTAAATTGTAGATATTACGAGTTACGGTGGAGCAGTTGCGCAAGGAGTAAGCACGCTGGAACTATTATCCCAGTGACCCGAGTTTAATTCCCTGCCATGGCTAACATCAGTGGCGCGTAGTAACTGAACTGGTTCCTGGGTACTCCGTTCATCAACCCGCACTGACCGATGGTGAAGTTTGGTCAAACAACACCCTCCGTGTCCCACAAGGTGTGGGGAGACATTCTAGCAACAGTGGATTGAAAGTGATCCCATTTAAACAAAACATATCTTATTCTTTTACTAGGAGTAAATGATTGGCTTGGAAACGGCAGTCTGCATTAACCTTTATGGTGACTGTACCTCGAGAATGCACCAACTGTAGAACAAGCACCGATATATGCAATAACCAATATCCGGCAAAACCGCACCGCGATGCAACCTCCATTAACACCACACATCTGCCCGTTCTTTGAAGATCAAGCGATCATGCACCCGGCTCTTCCAGCATTGCTGAATTTATAAAGGAAAATATCACACTCCGCAAGAGATGAATTTATATAGCACAATAATTGCAAAGATTTCAGGTATCTGTGAACGACTTGAAAGGGAGAGGTAGAAATGATTATGTCACGGGGTCAAGGAGGTGTCGTATGACCTTCCTCGACCTCTCTTTGAAGAAATCCGACATTGCTTCCTGCAACATTTTTTTTATATACCAACAAGACACGCAATGCTTTGTATGCCCTCGTGGTTGACTCTGGAGTGTGGCCAGGGACACAGATGCAGCAGGTTCAACAAGTCGAACAAGCGTCACTCGTGGTTAGGATAACAATGCGAATGCAAGCCCATAATGAATGTGCCACTTTATTTATTTCACGATTCTTTCACTAAAGTCGATATCATCACATCACTCTCGCCAGTACATTTTTAACAAAGGTGCCTTCATTTTAAGGCTATTGTTCGCAGTTTGTATTGTACCTTAGCTGCGATGCTGCATTCCACCTCTTCGCGAAACATTTTGTGGCCTCATTTATGGACCTTTTCTTATTGAGCACAATTCCAGGCAGTAATTTTAGAAGACATATCTTAAACGTCCTAATCAATTTGTTCGTTTAGTTATATTCACAGTTTGCTGAACACAGTTGCGCAGAGGCCCAAAGTGCAATGCGTCATTGAAGATGTACCAAGGTAAAAGCCGAGTCTTCAAATTGAGCAAGATTATAAGAACATGCTGATGTGACCGTTAAAAAAAAGAAAACCTGAGCTTAACCTGTCAGCTGAAACATATACGTTGTATTTTATACATTTCAAACATTCATTTCCGAATACACTCACATTTCTGCGTAAACAAGATTGTAAGCGCAACAAAAGCGGAAATTTCCAGCCTCAGGCATTAGCTGTCTCAGCACGACAATTACCCACAGGGGGATTCACACAGCAGAGGTAATGCAGCTTTCATCAAGGGACAATCCTTGGGTCTCTCTACACTGCACATGGCTACTGCTCGCACAAGCACCAGTAGCCTGTCTCATTTATACTGAAAAAAATGTTATGCACGGATATCAGCTTGTAATCATCATTGAGAAAAAAATCATTTCTTCAGCCAAAATATTCACAATAATTACTATTTTAAAAATGTTGCGTACTATATAAAACAAGCTGAATATAGATTTTAATAACAATGTATTCGAAACATGTGTTTTTTTATGTTAACATTTGATGACATTTTTATATCCCAGATATATATTTTTTGAAAGTTAGGCACACAAACATCGACATGAGAAACCATGCTGAGCATGCAAGTGCATATCCATACAAATACTCGATTATGATGAAGACAACTCAACCAACCTGTTGAAGATAGTTGACAAATTTGCACATGAAGTCACCAAATACCCAGCTTGGCAGTGGGTAAAGTGTGGCCGTGAATGGAACGCAGCAGACCAGAAAGATGATGTCCGTGCCAGCCAGGTTTACTAAAGCAAGAGAGAGAGAAACAATGAAAATAATATTACATTGTGTCACAACAACCCATGTGCAATTAGTTGTGGTAAATAATTAGAAATGACAGATGGAACCAGAGCATCTATAATTGTCGTTGCAGACGCTAATTGTCGTTGCAGACACAGACGATATATACGGTACAGCGCTTACGCATGTATATGTGCAGCTCGTGGTCAATCCACTGGGACTCTACACTGCACATGGCTACTGCCCACAAAAAAAACATCAGTAGCCTGTTATTTATGCTGAAACATTTATAAAGTGACGACAAAGCCCAAGAAACAGGGATACACTTCTCATCATTCCTCAGCCAAAATATTAACAAACATTACTATTACAATGTTCCGTGTTATAGCAAAACAAGATAAATAGGTATGTAAATGACATTGTACGAGATTTTTTTTTCATGATAACATTTAAACTCACGTGTGCATGCCATTTTATATCGCGGATAAATATTGAAAGTTAGGCCGTGTAGGCCGAGGGTTGTTTTGGCCACTAATCTGCTCAGCGAGTCTTGGTGAAGGTGTAGTGCTCGTACCGACACGACAGCTTCTTGTCTTTCCTCGGTTCTTTATTCAATCATATAGTTCCACATTTCTCCCATCAACACCGCTCAATGTTCCTCCGTACACTCCAACGCACAACTCTCCGTCAACACTGCTCAATGTTTCTCCGCTCCCTCGCTGCGCTTCGCTGGCCTCGCTCGCTCCCCTCTGCTCCTCCGGCGACTCTCCTCTCCGCTCTCTCTCCAGCTCGGCTGCTCTTTATCAACTCCGTCGTCACTCTCTCCACTGATGCTTCCGTTACTCCGCTGCTACCCTACGCTGTACTCACTCTATCCACTGCTACCCTATGCTGTACTCTCTCTACCCACTGCTACCCTATGCTATACTCACTCTATCCACTGCTCCGTCTCTCCATCCGTTCGTCTCTCGTCCCAGGCACCAACTCCCGTTTCACTCCACCATCTCACCCTTTATCCCCAAACCAATTACCCCTAATTAATTAGGTCATCCCCCGCGACGCCACTCGCCCACAGCCCTCGGTGCCATGTGGCGTTGTTATTCCAGACACGCCGGCGCCAATCTCAGACAACAGCTCCTCTCGTCCAATCAACACCCTGCGTCCTCAATTACCCCCGGCCATCTGCAGCCCCCTTAACTATCACACCACCTTAATTTGTACAACAACAACAGTTAGCCAATCAGCGCCCTGTGTCCTCGTTTGCCCTCACTGTCCGCCACATGCACGTATACCGACCCAGCGCGTGACGCGTGTCTCAAACACTACAAAGGTAGGGAGATGTCGACTAATACTATATATGGCAAGGCCTCAACATTCGTGAGGGGTTTTCTCTTGAAAATCTGCGCGAAAACTTCAAATTCATGAATGAAGATTCTATATTTGTATTTGTGTTTAGGTTTCTCGTGTCCGACTGAACATACGGGAGAAAATTAAAATGTTTCCTAACATTAATCCTGCAATGTACACATGAATAGCATCTGTACGCTTAATTCAATAGTGCAATAATACACGTAGATAACAACACAATAAAATTGAATAATTAAAATTAAAACATCAATAAATTATACTGCAAATTTGGTATTTACCGCATAAACAAACGCAATGCTCATTCGAATGTTAATGACATGCCATCTAGGCGTCCGTATGGCTCATCCATCCCGCACGCACCAAGACGTCCACTCGTTGAGAACGAGTCATCGGGACGACTCGATGCATGCGATGATGTCTGCACATCTGTGGTTTGCATGAGCGCGTCGAGTGTGAGATACACAATGTAGGGTTGTTGAACTTTTTACGCACCTGCTTACCTTACTCCCCTCCCTTCGTACTCATTGACATGTAAATGTTTTCCCTACCCCCTCCCTCTCTCTGCCTCCGCCCCCCTCTGTCTATTTAAGGCCACCCCACAGAGACGATCACCTCTCTCTGTACCTGGGTTGCTCTCTCTATGTATCTTGGTGATATCTGTCTGCTTATATGTCTGTCTATAGTTTTCTGGTTATATTCTATGTCGCTATTTCATTATACCTGATGATGATTGCTTGTGTTGCAATCGAAACGTCGTATGCTATTATTTAATTTATTATTTTATTTTTATACGTGACTTTACCGAAAAAACCAAAGAATAATTCCTGCAGTCACGAAAGCTCCAAAATTAAGATTCTTACGCACCGTATGTGGCCAACCGTGCTAAATGGAGGTGTGGGGGAAGGACAACAAACCAAACACAAAAAGCAGTTCTCAAGAAATTTGTTTTCAAGTGGCTTCCGCATATCAGAAGGAAGAGCGTTCCAGACGGCCGTGGAAGCGCATCAGAAAATGCACGAGGCACTAACCATCTTGATTTGTTCGATGGTTAGCCAAATGCTGCTGCGAGGATGACCGGAGTTTGTGTGATGCTTTATGCTCCTTGACGAGATCATCAATGTGTAATAAAAGACTCCGTCAGGCACTGCTGGTCTCCGTTGGTCTTTTATTCAGGTTCTTTCTCTGCACCCTGCTGGTCTCCTCCGCGGACCAGCGTCGTCTCGCGCGCACCCTGCACGCGCTCCATCGTCAGCTCCTCCACTCTTCCTCATACCCCGCTGGTCCTAACAAGTGACCAGCATCTCCTCTTGTGTGCCGCGCACGCTCCTCCGTTAGCTCCTCCAACTCCCGCACTCCGCACACCGCTGGCCGACGGTGTGCTGAGGTTCTTCGGCCACGTGGCCAATGGCGCGGATCCCCTCTCACCACCCAACGTGGCTCTGCCTCTTAACTTCTCCAAAATTAAGATTTCCCCAACTGACCCCGATCTCTTCTGGGCTCGCACTTATATCCTCTCCCCCCATGTGACCCTGACTCCTCCCCTTCCGGATTGTCAGATCCGGCCTTCCCATACTGCCCTGCTGGCTCCGCCCCCATTCACCTCGCCTCCCATTGGAGCCGAGGTGAACGGCGGCCCCTCCCACACGCCCCGCAGACCAGGCTCCGCCCCCCAATACCCCGGGCCATGTGATTGGGCCAGAGCCCAGCAACAACCCCATTTATGCTCGCATTACAAATGTATCGTGGTTCGCTTGTGGCAAGCACCTTGTGTGTAACGAGTGCGACATTAACACATTCCTGCGGAGAGAGCTGGTAGGAACGTTGGGTTGCTCGGTCAATGGCCAGGGTCAACGGCGGCGTGGTGTATTCCGTAAATATGCCCGACTGTGAGGGCGGGCACAAGCCAGCGTGAGTAGGTTAAACGTTTAGTTTTATAAATGCACCACGGGGTGACCAGCCCCTCCCCACCCAGCCCAGCCCCACCCCTCCCACCACCCACCCAGCCCCACCCTCCCCACCCAGCCCCTCCCCACCCTCCCCACTCAGCCCCTCCCCACCCTCCCCACTCAGCCCCTCTCCACCCTCCCCACCCAGCCCCACCCTCCCCACCCAGCCCCTCCCCACCCTCCCCTCCCCTCCCCACCCAGCCCCTCCCTCCCCATCCAGCCCCTCCCTGCACGACGGACAGACACAATAATTTCCTGTGGGTTGGTGTAACCAGGAGGTTCCATCCAGTATAATGTATTCGTTCGGCAACCAGAAGCCAATGCAGCTCAGCGAGCACTAGATGGACACGGTCAGATCAACAGTGGCTTGGGTGTGCACACACGAACGCCACAAACAACCACTTCGCAAGTGCCCCCCCCCCCCCAAGATGGAATGTCGCCAAATAGAGAATATTAGAGGGGAAAAGGCGTGAAACTTGAACTGGTATGCCAATATAAAATCGCGAATCACATTTCGCAACAAGATAAATCCGCGAATGAAGAGGGTTTCATTGGATTATTCTGCAGTGCCATCTGCTGCCCTGAATCCCCACGACATCTGTCTTAGTATTGTAAACGCTGGTCACCCTTACAAGCATTATCCAGGCTTCAACCTTATTATCCTCTTGATATATGATGGGATCAGATGTATTCCGCGTGACCTGCTCACAGGCAAGGATTATACTTATCCACAGCAACCGTTAATGGACTTCACATTGTTGATTCATGCTCTGAGTGTCACATTGCTCCAATGAGAGCAAGCCAACATCTTTTCTTTTCTCTGTAGAAAACGTCTAAACCTCTGGACAGAAGAGTACAAAAGCACCTCCTTCGCTACACGGAGGGCTGATTGTAGAGCTCACATCATGCTTTTTAACTCATCTCGAACGAGCTCATACTGTGCCTGTCTGCCGATCCTTAACATGGTAACTCTCGTAAAGACGATTCAATATATCCACGGTATAAAATGGTGTTGCCATTGGAGACTTTGCCTAGCGAAAACTCGATACACTGGTTGTGTTTTTTGGAATTGCAGTATATATCACGACAATTTACATACACATTCACTTATTTACCCAGGCCACCCACATTTAGTTGTAGGGATTTTTTTTCAGGAGGGTCCTGCATTTGGTTTTTATTAGAAGATTTTTTTTCAGCTAAATTATGCGTGTTTATACGTCTGGTATGAAACCGGAACACCACGAGCGCGAGCGGGCAACATTCTTTCTCCGTAAAGATGGAAATATATGGTGATTAGTCCACTTGCTGTATTGCCTTCTGCTGAGTCAGCTCATCGACGCCCATGGGAACGGAGTTTTGCAACATTTGTGCCGTGATTCACCAATCCCTACATCTGTAGTGCTGGATTACAGGCATGCGTGGCCATCACTGCGACCAATTGTGCTAAAAAATAGCCCAATTTTGCAGCCCTGGTCCAGAACCAATGTTCGAAATTCCACCTTCCCATGACAGGTGCTATAACGATCACTGTTGCCTCTCAACTTAAAAATGGCCCTTGTGGAATCGATCGTAATGGTACGAGGGGCTAATTTAACGTGTTTGAACCCATAACACTTGTGAGCGGAGGAGGACCCTTGGATTGCATGAATATTGCATCGTCTATGAACAATGTCCTTTTGAAATCCGACGGCCACCACAATTTGCGATCATCGAATCTTTCCTTTGAACACATTTACACATCCAACACCAGACGACTTCGGCAGAACGCACGAATACACGTGAGATTTTTTTAGGGCAAGGTGGCAGGTCACATTTACTGGCGGCGGTCTCAAATTTGCTGCAAAGCATTCGGGATGCTGCATTTAAATAAACCCAGACGGGCGATATAAATAAGAGTCGTATGAGTTCAGTGCTGTATACTAAGTGTCGCCTGTACCATGGAGGAATAATAGTGACTAAAAAACGTGACGTCGTGGGCTATTTATGCCACCATCGACATGTAAACAAGCTCGTGCTTATTCCACCAGGGTGTGGCGGTGTCGCCCCCACTGCTTCATCAACTGAGCAACCCACGCTCAATTCCAGGCCACGGCTAACATCGGTGGAGAGTCATATCCGAAGCAATTCCAGGTGTCCCTCCTTAACCAACACGCGTTGACCGGCATTATAAAGTATGGCCAACCTAAATTTCCTCACTACCTGCGCAGGCGCGGATTGACAAATGGGCTGTACATGTACCGATGCTGCGGGGTTGGTAGATCACGGATACGTTGACCCATCAAATGCGCGAGTGACGGCAGTACAGCAAGCAGGTTTATGGTAAGTGTTATTGCCCGGTGAGCGTGGTTTTCTCCAAACACTTCGATATATTGGCGCCAGAGGCGGATCAAGATTTTTTTTGTTTCAATAGGGCACTACGTTAACAACAGGTTTTTTTTTATCTTTGGGTAAACTTAAATTAAATACGGTCTCGAGGAGGGGGCGTGGGGGGAAGGGGTATGATCGCCTGGCCTCATCACCCCCTACCTCCCTTGGGTCCGCCAACTGATTTGCACTTGGGTTAAAATCGGTAAATTTTTAAGTGTTTATGGTCACCGACGGAAATAATCGATAAACACATTTTTACATATTTTCCGCACGGAGAGTGTTTCCCTAAATAATTATTGAAAGCAGTGTTATATTTACACAAGGCCGTAGCCATAGAATCAACATTGGGGGGGGGGGAAATATTCCAGGGGGTCTAGGGGTCGCCCCCCCCCCCCCCCCAGAAAAAAATCTAACTTTGAAAACGAATTTCCTGCCTAACCACAATCATATAAACAGAAATATATGCATTGTTATATGAAGACAAGTCCAGATATTGTGGCAAAGGTTTAGCAAATTGTTGTTTTTATTTACATAGCATAGCAATATTTTTTTTCATATTGTTTATATCAATATATTGGGGGAGGGGGGCATTTCGAGCATATTAAATATTGGGGATGTCTCCCCCAATATATATTATAATGACGTCCTTGCATTTACATCATGGGACCTCCTTTGTCAGTACCAAAATAGAAGAATAGAGAAGGCGTTGTACGCCTTTTGGTGTCCTCTCGTCTAACACCTTTTTTAGACGAAGAAAGCTGTCTCTGGTGTGATATTGTGGTTAATGCAGACATGATTCCTTGTAAAAGGTTTCAGTTTGGTGTTTTAACATCTTAACACCTGTTTTGTTGTCAGAAAAAAGAGGAAAACATATTCTCAGTGTTACATTTTTTACAGAGAGTTTCCAACAATTAATTACTCTATTACATTGTAGTCTTTTATGTTGAAATACTTTTTTACGTGCTAAGGTGGAGCGGTGGCGCAGTGGACAACGGTTCGATATACGAAAGTGATGAATGATATATGAACCGGTCCTGGGCGTCTCTCTCCTTCACCGACCCGAACTGAGCAGCGTGGTGAAGTATGATCCAACTACCCCACGTTCGACGCGGCACAAGGAGGCCTTCACTGCTGGATGAAGGCCACCCGACGCTTGTCGGTGTTGGTGGTTGTTTGACCATACTTTACAATGCTGGTCAGTGCGGGTGGATGACGGATTGGGAGCGCACAGAACCTGTTCAACCCATTCATATAGCACTCGTCACGGAAGCGAGGCACGGCCGGGACTCGAACACAGATTCGCGAGTTCATAACCCAGTGCGCTACCCACTGAGCCACCTCTCTCTCCTCCTCAGGATTACTGAATGGCTGAGCATTGTCATAAAAAGACAACAATCCCCAGTATAGCCTTAAAAGGCTGTTGGGGCAAGTACTGTTAGCGAGTACCTATGAAGGCGGCACGGCACACGAGGGAGTGGGTGACCAGCACCAAGCCCGGCCGTCATTGTATCCCCAGTCGCTATGTTTACACATCGCATCAGGTACTCAGTTGAGGCTGAGTCCACCTAGGGGAGACCGAGGACCGATTTATATAATCGTCACTGTGTTGGCCATGAGCAGCAATCGAACTAGGATGGTTGAGTTCGTAGCACAGCGCGTTAACCATGCTATACGACAACGGTCGCTGACACATGTATGATGCACATGCGAGGCGTTTGCGTGCGCATACCCACCTATGAAGAAGTTGGTGACTGTGCGCATCTGTCGGTTCTTCGTGATGACGAAAATCACCAAAGAATTGCCCACCAGTCCCACGAGCATGATGAGAGCGAAAATAAGAGGTACAAGCCACGCGTCCGTCATGAAGGGCATTTCTCCACCCCGTGTGACGTTCATGAGGATGCCACGAAGCCGAGACGCATTCACAGCGCTCACGTTAAACGCGGGACCCATATTACAATGGGGCTCTTGATTTCCAATTCCTGTACAGCAACAACGACACCAAAAACTCTACCGCCAAGTATTAACTTGAAATCGAAAGGTTATTTGTTTATTTAGTGCGTTGTTAAATACTCAAACACTCAAACTTAATTTGGAGCTTTCGTGACTGCAGGAATTATTCTTTGGTTCTTTCGGTAAAGTCACGTATAAAGATAAAATAATAAATAAATTAAATACTAGCATACGACGTTTCGATTGCAACACAAGCAATCATCAAACACTGCTGGCTCCGAAACGCGCCGGTGAGCACCCACGTACGCACGCATGCACGCTGTATAAGCATAGTTTTAGAAGCAACCTTGCACGACAGATTATAGTGATCGAAGTTAGTTATGTAGACTTCTAAGCAGCTGTATCCATCAGCATCGATACGCGCTGTTGTCTAACGCGATGTCCGTCTATAGCCGTTTACAGGAGCGGCGCTGTCCGTTTCAGCACCACCACGTCCGGGCATTCTGCGAGCTGGAGCTGCACCGCACAGCTGACTGCACGCGCAAAGAAGCCACTGTGGAGAGGGGAACGCCTTCATCACTATCACTCTCCCTCCTTCCCACCTCCCCCCCGGCTCCTTACTCCTCCCCATCACCTCCTTCTACGCCCACGCGAGAGATTAGTTTCGTCACGTACAACTTAACGGTGCTGGAGAAAGAAGGTTTGAGGAACGATGTAGAGGGATATATTGTTTCATTCGTCATTGCATAGATTGATGAAAGTTAATAGCTCATCTCCTCTGTAATGGGCGGTCAATAACAATCAGTGGCGAGGCGTGGTTGGTATGGGTCCCAGGGTAGGCAATTAAAAAGGGACCACCCCCCTCCTGTGTCTAATTTCCGTTCCTTTCCGTAGCCCGAAACTTGGGCCCTCTCAGGGTCCCATGGCCAGCCAAATAAATTATTTGCATCGCTTACACGCCACCGATAACAACAGTGCACAAATTCACGTTAGTCATATGTATTCTTGCTATGCACTACATGTATGCAAACGTTCGACGTTTCCACCTGTTTAGTAAAAATGATGTGCAGTGTTCGTTTCACTGGGTGAGTCATGAGCCCCGCGGTGGAAATTTGACATCTCTATGACACATCTAATAACAGATTTCCCAACAAGATGCTACTCCGTTTATTGAATCTCAAGGAATATTAATTGGATTCAGTTGACCCTGGCCAGATAGAAATTGAAAAGCAGCGATATCTCTGCTTGTTCGAGTTCTGTAGATACATGCACACAATCCTAAACGCCGCAAACTATTTGGCAAAAATCTATTTCAAATACAAAGGTCCATGTACCATGTTAACCTTTAATGTGTTTCACCCCATATTCCACACTTTTAAATCCGAGTTTTTTTTATAAAAGGGATGAGCCTCTTGTGTATTTTTTCCATATGGGTGAGATGTATTGTCGATTTTTTTCTTGACCTTAAGAAAAATAAAACGTTTATTCGGAGTGCAGAAAAATTGCATTATACAGTGAGGAGTAGTACATCTAAAACGATTATTTTGAATGAGTTCTGATGTTTTTCGTGGAACAGGGTCAAAATGGAGTGTAAATATAAAAATCGAGTCGACTGGCATGACAGTTGCTAGACTCCTGGAATATGCTGTTCTGGTCAACACACTTTGCTGCGTGCTTAACAGCAGCCTGTGCTACAGTGATTATACCATGAATTTAAAAGTCTCTATAAATAATTATAGATTGTGATTTCAATCTGCATGATTTTTAAACCACCATCATTATCACGTAACACCATGGTGATCTTAATTATGTTGTCATAAATTACAGATTAATTTCGTTGTTTTGTCAGAAGTTTGTCTTGTGCAGCAGAAAATGACCCTATGTAACACATTTTTTGTTCCTGGGTAGTACGTGTTATTTCCTAATTGCTTATGCCTAAAAAGTATAGAAAATGGCTGTTATTTCCCACAAAATTTGCTTTTGTGATCAGGACATTGATATTTTGAAATTTACCTATTTTTAATGAGAAAACGGGCGAATTTGTGTGTTTTCGTTCACAAAATCAGAAAAAAACATATGAATCAACATGTACATGTATTTATACTAAAGTAATAAAAAACGACTACAAAAATTTAGAAGTGAGTAGTTTTTCGAGATTTACGATTATACTGTAAATCACTTTCACGAATCAGCCCGCAATTGTAGTCTCCAAATCATGTTTTGTTATACTGTCCTTGGTAGTGGCGTCCAAAGTTCAGTATATCCTGGTGGAAGCACTCGCCTTGATCTTCCGAGTACGCTCCCATGTTCTCCTTGAATTTATCAAGATGAGCATCAAGGATGTGGACTTTGAGGGACATCCTACAGCCCATTGTGCCGTAGTTCTTTACCAGAGTTTCAACCAGTTCCATATAACTTTCGACCTTGTGATTGCCCAGGAAACCACGGACCAATGCGACAAAGCTGTTCCAAGCCGCTTTCTCCTTACTAGTGAGCTTTTTGAGGAATTCATTGCACTCCTGGATCTTCTTTATCTGTGGTCCGACGAATACACCGGCTTTAACCTTTTCCTCAGACAGGTTAGGGAATAAATCTTGAAGGTACTTGAAGGCTGCCGACTCCTTATCTACAGTTCTGACAAATTGTTTCATAAGGCCCAATTTGATGTGCAGTGGTGGCATCAGCACCTTCCGGGGTCCACCAGTGGCTCCCACTTTACGTTGTTCCTCCCCACAGAGAACTCGGTCTGCTGTGGCCAGTCCCGCCTGTGGTAGTGCGCCTTGGTGTCCCTGCTGTCCCAAAGGCAAATATAGCAGGAAAACTTGGTAAAACCGCCTTGGAGACCCATCAGGAATGCCACCATTTTGAAGTCTCCGATGACCTCCCAGCCGTACTCATCATACTTCAAGGCGTCCAGCAAGGTCTTGATGCTGTTGTAATCCTGTTTGAGGTGCACCGAGTGAGCCAGGGGAAGAGACGGATACTTGTTACCATTATGGAGCAGCACGGCTTTGAGGCTCCTGGATGAGTTGTCAATGAAGAGGCGTCACTCATTCTGGTTACAGGCGATTCCAATTGCCTCGAAGAGACTGGTCAGGCAAAAGCAGAGCCTATCTTTACGGGTGAAGAAGCTGCAAAAAGGTTGGTGACGCTTCCTCTGATCTGCGATTTTCACACTTTCATGCAACAAGTTCCACTGCTTGAGCCTATCCGTCAAAAGTTCGGCATTGGACTTGGTGAAACCAAGATCTCTGATCAAGTCGTTGAGGTCTTTTTGGTTGGGGTAGTATGGGGTTGCTCTCCTCAGCTCCACCTCTGAAATTGTCATCTGGATCTACAACGTCTTCCTCGCTCTCTGACTTGCTGATCTCTTCTAAAGACGGCTGCTCTCTCTCTGGAGAAGTGGATTACGGGGAGCTCATTGCAGTGTGGCACCGGGGCGATGGATGAAGGAAGGTCCGGATACGCGATAGCAGGATAATTCTCTGCCAGTCCGACGTTTGGAAGGGTCCACCATGCAGAAGTAGCAGTTGCTTGAGTGGTCAATGGGTTCCCGCCAAGTTATTGGTGTAGCGAACTTCATGGCTCTCTTTTTCCCTCTGTAACATCCAACAAAATACATGTATTTCACCCATGACTAATGTGTAAGAGATTTTCGCAACATTTTTCATATATGATATATTTTTTGAATAACATTGAAAATTGGAAATCATTTCAAATTATAAATGTTTACAGTTCAAAAAATTGTAACAGATTTTATAACGTAAAATTCCGAGCAACAATTGTCCATCTTACCTTCCAGAGTTGTTTTGCATTGCTTGCCGGTGAAATGAGGTGCCCAGGGTTTGTCTTGATCCCCAACAGACATGCCGAAATATGCCTTGCACATCTTAGCAGATGCTTTCACAGAGTACTTTTTCGCTCTTGTCTTGATGAATTGGCCGCAGCCATAGCAAAATGCGTCTGCGGGATGCTTGCAGCCTCTTAATGCCATCTCAGAAAAATGCAGATATGTATCCACTTTGGCAGCTGGAATTAAACTGAACTGGTGGGCTTAAGGCCCCTGTATTTATACTACTACTAGCTGTACTACCCGGCTTCGCCCGGGACTTGTATCTACCACGGCCGGCCGCCTTTGTCTCCCCAGTGGCGATGTTAATACGCTACAGCAGTTACTCGTTTGAGGCAGAGTCGACCTAGGAGAATTCAAATAATCGTCACCGGTGGTGGCCGTGAGCGGGAATCGAACTAGGTTCGCCAGGTTGGTAGCGCAGCGTAGCGTTAAGCACTACACCCACCGCTCCTCACACACCACACACGCACAGACACACACACAGACACACACACAGACACACGTAGACACACACAGACAGAGACACACACACACACAGACAGCACGCTAACCACTACACTACCGCTCCCCACACACCACACACGCACACACACAGACACACACACAGACACACACACAGACACACACACAGACACACACACACAGACACAGGCAGCACGCTAAGCACTACACTACCGTTCCCCCTACACAACACACGCGCGCGCGTCCATAGGTACACATACACGCGCTTGCTGCAGACACACACGACTTTCAGGGTGCGTACGGCAGTAAACGACTGAAATAATAAAGCGGCAATGCTGTGTAAGGAACGCCTTAGACCCGCATTACACATTTGTGTAATGCGAGCGTAAACACACAAACACACACAAACACATACACAATACACACACACATACATGCAGACACACAGACAGACACATAACACACATACATACACACACATACAAACACAGAAACACATACACACACATACATAGACACACACATACATACACACAAACACATCCACAGACGTACATACACACATACATACAGGCACGCAGACATACACATAAACACATACAAAAAAACCCACATACATACACACACACATACATACACACAAACACATGCACACACATACACACATGCATACAGACACACAGACATACACATAAACACATACACACATACACATGACCCGGCTTCGCCCGGGACTTGGATCCACCACGCCCGGCCGCCTTTGTCTCCCCAGTGCCGATGTTAATACGCAACACCAGTTACTCGTTTGAGGCTGAGTCGACCTAGGGGAGGTTCAAATAATCGTCACCGGTGGTGGCCGTGAGCGGAAATCGAACTCGGTTCGCCGGGTTGGTAGCACAGCGTAGCGTTAAGCACTACACCCACCGCTCCTCACACACCACACACGCACAGACACACACACAGACACACACACAGACACACGCAGACACACACAGATAGACACAGACAGACACACACACACACAGACACACAGACAGCACGCTAAGCACTACACTATCGCTCCCCACACACCACACACGCACACACACAGACACACACACACAGACACAGACAGCAAGCTAAGCACTACACTACCGTTCCCCCTACACAACACACGCGCGCGCGTCCATAGGAACACATACACGCGCTTGCTGCAGACACACACGACTTTCAGGGTGCGTAAGGCAGTAAACGACTGAAATAATAAAGCGGCAATGCTGTGCGAGGAACGCCTTAGACCAGCAACACATTTGTGTAATGCGAGCGTAAACACACAAACACATACAAACACATACACACACATACACACAAACACATACACACACATACATACACATACATACACACAGACATACACATACACACAAACACACACATACATACACACAAACACATACACAATACACACAGACATACATGCAGACACACAGAGACACACATAACACACATACATACACACACATACATACACATAAACACATACACACATACATACACACAAATACATACACACAAACACATACACACACGTACATACACACATACAGACACACAGAC